CTTCGCGAGGGCGGGTCCGCTGCGGTGAAGGCGGCGTGCCGGGTCCTCCGAACCCCTCGTCAGTAGCGTTTCCATTACTCGTCCAGCCCGGATCCGGACCCCACTCGCGCGCGTTAACTCGGGGACCCTCAGGCTCCTCCCCCAGGGCTGAGGGGTCCAGGCAGTGGGAGGGGGAGAGGTGTGGCCGCTCCGGAGCTGGCGGTGCCTCCAGCTGGAGGATGCCGGAGTGGCGCTGCCTGCCGCGACGCCCACGGGCACTTCACTCCCCCTCCCTCGGGGGCTGCTGTCTCGAGTCTGCAGGATAAAGGCGCCCTGCTCCGTCAAATAGGGCACTTGGCTGCTTTCAGGAGTCAGAGGGCCGAAGTGTGGGGGTGTTGGGCACGATGAGCTGCCCAGAGCGGGGCTGGCCTCCCGGTGCCACGAGCTGGTAGGCGGGAGGCAGGTGGAACCGCGAAGTGATGGGGGCCGAGCCCCTAACGGTCCAGCGTCTCCTCTCCCTTTACCACAGGGCGCTTACACCTTTATTCTGTACTAACTGCAAGCTTTCCCAGTCCTCTGTGGAACGAAGACGGGTACAAACAAGAAAGGGATTCCTCCAGCTAAGTCTCTGGGTAGGCACTAGGGGGTGCCCTGGCCACGTCCCTGCTTGGGCGCCATTCCTAAGAGTCCTGGTTCCCAGAACTGGCTGCAGGGACTCCGAAGGGACCCTGGCGAGAGACCTCTTGTGAGTGGGTTCAGACTGGGAGCCGGTGGGTTATGCCTTCCTCTTCCAGCCCAGGCCTGCAGGATGGAAGCCAGGGAGTGTGGTAGGTTCTTGGGCATTCCCCTCTGCAGAGGTATTTATGCCAGTAGCAGGTGAGGCAGGGCCAGAGACTGAGACACGGCTCTATCCTGGACCTGATTAAATGACTGGCTTCAAGTTTTCCTGCAGAACAGATTCCCAACACTGACACAGTGGTACTGAGCTCTACTTGCTAATGAACTCTGTTAACTGAGACTGGGCTTGTCTGAGCTTTCTGGAGTAAACTTGTTTTGTGTTCCAATGTTTTCCCAGGCATCTTTTATTTGTGGCAGGGATAATGGTTTTTCATTTGGATTATGATAAAAAGGGTTTAAAATTTTCTCTAAATGTGTATTTAAGCTTAACAGTGAGTTGATTTAAGGAAAATTATTCAACCGGTAAAAATTAAGGAGATGGTCTGACAATGACTAAAACTTTGGGAAGTTCATCTGTGTCCCGTCCCTCTCCACACTCTGCCTTTCGGGAGGAAGAGCAGGGACCAGGAGACCCAGGAAGGGAACAGAATTCTGCTCTGACATCTGGTGAATGCAGGACCTCTGTTAGAAATGGGACTGTCCAGCGCTAGGGTTGTGGAAAAGGGTGGTGATTGACTTTGGGAAGAGATCTGGAGTGATGAAGAGTGGGGGAGGGGCTAGGGTAAGCAAGCTGGTAGGGGCCACACACCAAAACTGATGGCTAGGGTTGGGCAGCCGTAGGGATGCAGGCAGCCGAGATTGACAGTAATCTTTCTAGATGCCCCCAGCCAGGCTACCTACCCTCTACCTCCTCCCCGGCGCCCCTTCAGAATTCCAGGAGGGGGTCCTCTTAGCCACACATGCGCTCAGGGACACACACCCACCACCTGGCTGAGAATGGATCAGCGCCATGCCTGACTGTCCTGCCAGGATTGTACACTGGGGAAGAGAAGGGACATCCCAAAGGAAAGTTGATGCTATCACCGAAAGGGGACTGGAGGTGGGGCAGCCATGGAAAGAGAGCAGAAGCCTAAGGGAATGATGTCATCCCGGGCCTGCAGAAGTGATATCACAGCGAGGAAAGGCCCACTGTTTCTTGATTCATTAGTTCCTTCATGCATGCATTCATTCATTCTGCCCACTGCTGGGGGTGGGGGCGCCTAGGTCCTGCTGTTCCAGCACTGGCAAGCCTGTAGCCTGACCCTCACTGTAGCCTCTGGACTCTCAACTCTTCCCTTTGAAACGGGCAGTTGCCTGGCTCAGGGCCAGTTTTCCACTGCTCTCTGTGCCCCTGTAGTTATAAATCCCTCAGGACCTGCCTGCAACCCAAACTCCCTCAAGGCACTTCCCGGTGGGTGAGCTCTGCCTGTCTCCCTGCCAGGGGTTCGGCTTCCTGTACCTGGGGACAGTGACTCTGGCCCCCACCTAGGAAGGAGGGTGGAGCCCAATGGGCACAGGAAAGTTCTGCTTTCTTTCCAGACCCCAGGCTGCGAGCCCTTCCTCCTGGGTCCTTGCTTCCCACCGAGTGAAAACGTGCTTTTGTATTGGGATTGCATGCTAGCCCTCAGCTTTTTTTCTGCCTTCCTGGAGATTCTCTGGGACAGCCTTCAGCTGTGGCAGGTCCTTCCATCCTTCTTCTGGGAGCTTCTTAACCTGTGGTCCAGGGATCCAGAATTGAGGAGGCCCAAGAGCTGAGACAGAAAAAAAAAGCATTCATTTTCACTAACCTCTAACTGAAACTTGGAATTTCCTTCAATTATGAATGCGGGCAGCAAAGTCCAGCAGAATTAGCAGAGCTTAGGACTGTCACACAGAAATCGCAGGGGCTTTCGTACTCACTGCAGGTGTTGCAGACCCTTCAACACAGCAGTTAGGCACTCACTGCTGCTTCGTGATTCTGGTACTGAGTAGTCCTTCCTCTCTATCCTACAATTTAATGGGTTAATATAGAATCACAGGTATTCCTATATCACAAATTTGTATGTTTTTATATTTTGATATTTGCACTTCAACATTAGTAGTCTTTTTGTAGTGCGATATCCTTTATTTTCTGCATTGCAAAACATGGTTCCAAGCAGGGGTCTTTCGTTTTCTCCAGATGCTTAAGAGTGTCTCTGGTACAGTGAGAGCTTGGTAGTCGTGCCCTAAAGACTCACCTCACCCCTCCACTGGTCCTTTCCTTAGACACCTCTTTTCCTTATTCATTCATAACAAATGTCCTGAGCGTCCACCCTGTGCCCTTGAGTTGCTGGTGACATAGATACACTGTGTACTGACATCGACCTGGTCCCTGTCCTCCCAGAGTCCCGTCCGCAGCCACCGTGCCCAGCACTGGGAAGGAAAGGTCCCTGGGGCTCAGAAAGCTTCTAATGTGGGGAATTACCACGATGAGAAGAGAGGGCCTCCTTGGGAACGTGAGGTTAGCTGCATGACCCAGGGAGAGGAGGAGTTGCCTCAGTAAAGGATTGATCAGAACATGCAGTCAGTGCCAGCCTGGGCAGAGCTCAGTGAGAGAGGAGGCCTGGGACGACAGCGGCAGGCCAGAGCACCAGGACATCTTGTCAGAGATTTGGGTTTTCCCCCCTGGGGCTATGGGATAGGTCCAAAGCAGGGAGAGGTGTGGGAGCTGTGATGGGATTGACACAGTCCTATTTGCATTTTGAAGTGATCGCTTTGGCAGGGATGGAGAAGGAACTAGAGAGAGGGAGAGAGGAAGCAGGAAGACCAGCCAGGGGCTGTTGTAGGGGAAGGAGTCCAGAATATGCCACTGTAACATAAAGATTATTCTGAGCTGAAGGCGTTTGAGAATAAGCTGTTTTTCCCCCTTATCTGCCTAAAAGCAGAGCCTCCCCAAAGAATTCCAGATTGTCCTAAATCCCCTCCCTGGGAGCAACTAAGGAAAGATTGACTCTTTTCACATGATAACCCAAACAGACGTTGTCACAGAACTCCTTATCATTCTCCTAAGGACCCATTTATCTTTCCTAAAAGTCATATTTTTTCCATGTAAACACGTTTCTCCTTCTTTTCCTTCTCTGCTGCCCTCATTAAATTGGTAAATTTAGCCCCAAATTCTAACTGCCTAGTACGTAAATAAAAATATTTTCTTGCTAATCTATCTTGTTTGTTTAATTCACAGGCCCTAAGCACTGAGTCTAAGAGGGTAGAGGAAAAGGTTTTCTGCCCTGATATAGGCAGCTAGGAGAGAGACAAGGTCTGGAATGGGGGACAGGGGTTAGAGATGAAAAGTAAATGGGTTCAGGACAGCCTTGGGAGACTATACATCACTGAGGTCAAGAGTGTGAACAGACACGCTCTTGAGACAAGCTCTTGGGTGTGGAGAGCCAGCCTGCCTGGCTTCATAATCCTGGCTCCAGTAGGGTGTGGCACAAGCCGTGTGACCTTGGGCAAGTTACTTTATCCCTTCTGTGCCCATTTCCTCAGGGTGTCAAATGGGGATAATAATCCGGATAGGCTTGATTATGCTGCTATAATAATCCCAAAGGTCTATGATTTAATAAAGGTGTATTTCTCAAAGCCTGGGGGGTTCAGCTCGTGGTAGTTCCTGTCCAGGTTTTCCAGGAATAACCACCTGAACACTGCAGGCTTCCCTGGCAAAGGGGAACAGAGCTTTAGAAGCTCTGGCATTGGCAGATAAATAAATGCCCTGGCCTCTGAGTGATTCGCGGCTCTTCTGTCTCAGGTCCTTGGCCAGAGCTGATCACATGGTCTCACCTCGATATAAAATATTCAGAATGCTTCCCGGCATAAGAGCAGCACTGTGAGAGTGTCATTACTTTTATTATTGGGAAGCGCAATCAACAGGAACTGCTGGGGATTTGAGGGCTCAGCCTGGCCACATCTGACCCCCACATTTCTGGTTTACACTGCGGTGACCCTCACTGCCATTGGGAACCCTGTGGCAGGCATGGGGTGGGGAGGCGGTGAGTCAGTACTCCAGGATATGACCCTGATCCAGAGGGCTACGAGTGCTCTGTTTGGCCAAGCTTGAGGTCACGTGCACACCCCACCCTCCCCATCAGGGTAGAAGGGAAATGACTCCCCAGAGGAAAGTGCCTGCCAAAGAGGGATGTAAATTGAGCAGGGTGAGGGTGAGATAGGCTGCGACCTGGGACCCTTTACTGAAGTACTTGCACCTGGCAACGCCTCCTGGAGCAACTGCATACAAAGACACTATAAGAAACTAAAAATAACTGCACGTGTGTACAGTTAGGGCAAACTATGAACAGTAAGGTACAGCAGGGCCAAAACCCAGCTGCCACTTCTGAGGTGCCGGGTGCAAAAGCAAGAGTCTCACACACGACCCCTGCACACAGCACCACCAAGGGCTCCAACCCCTCCCGCCCACCCCTGATCTGGCCCTACCCTCACCGCATTTAAGGGACCAACGGCCCCTGCTCCGACCCCCAGTGAGGGAGCAAGGAAGCTTGTTACTTGTTTTCAGGCCCCTTTTGCTGCTGTCCAATACAGCTTTGCCTGGGATTTCTCAACTGGCCTCTTATCAATAGAAATTCATTAAAGAGTCCGAGAACTCAGGTCGATAAAAAGGGGACTGGGGAATGCATATAAAATCTGGGGTGCGGGGGGCTTTAGCCCTCTTCTGTCTCCAGAACTCTTGTCTAAGGGAACACCAGCTCCTCGGGATCGCAGTCTGAGAGCGGAAGTGTGGGTCCCTACAGCGCGGGGGCGGGGGCTGTGCCCTTCTCAGCAGCTGTGACCCAGGCTCTGCCGCCTTCTCCCCACCAGACATGTTTTTAATCAGGTCATAGTGGCTACCATCCTGCCAAATCCGGCATGGCCTGCGGGAAGCTCAGGCTCTGTGGGCCCTCCGGTCCTCTCCTCAACTCAGGGCCTGCCAGACTAACTCCCGGCTCAGCCGCCAGGGCCCCGGCAGGCCCTCCCCGTATCCCGGTCACTTGCGCGAAGCCCGCATCCGGCACCGCAGCCCCCGCAGAGCCC